CTCCTCTGATATTTCTCGATCACCTCCTGACAACGAACCACCACGCCAGCAGCCAATACGCGCACCCTTTCGTCCTCTTCGCTTCCCGCGCCTAGACCCTCGAATACCATCCTCACCCAGGCCTGCGTCTCCATAAGCTCCTTGCCTTGCTCCGTAGCCACTCGCTCCTTGTTCTCGTTCGTCTCCAACAACATCAGAAAGCCGAATAAAACCGCGTTCAGGATATTTTTATCCTTACTCGCCAGCCCGCGCACCGACAGTAGCAGATCCCAATACTCGCGCGTCATCTGCGGCAACGCAAGCGTGTTCGGGCCCGACGCGTTGAGCAACAACGACAGAGTCTGCAGAAAGGGAGGGAGAAGGTGAGTAGACGCATATATCGAGTCGTTGTTCGCGCGGATCTGCAGCCACCAACGGCCCGTGAGTGGGAAGAAGAAGTTATCTGCCACAATTTGCGCGAGCGCGTTGGGTATCGGCTTATGTCGCTTCTTCTCGACTTCCATGCGCGAAGAGAATGTTCGGACTTTGAGTATGTTCGGGCCGCTGAGCTCATCGGCTGCTTGACTAGCCATAGGTGATAGCATCTCGCGCACCATGCTGCTTGAGATCTTGGCTACTGCGGGGGCCTTGTTATCCTCGGCGTACATCTTGTGAAGGTGTGGCGGAAGCTGTTTGCTAGGGAAGTCCGGCTTTGCAGGCAACAAATCGTCAGTCGATGTGTCCTTCATGCCCGCCAACTCACGCGCCCCGAGCCCGAGAGTCGTGAGCATGGCGATGCGTTGCTGCAGACTGTAGTCGCCTGAGAAGAAGGATCGAGCGAACCATTGTGCCATCTGCGCTGGTTTCGCGAGAAGCACAGCAATCAAGGCTTGTTGCCGTTGCTGCGCGAAACCTTCAAGCTCCGAGTTGTCTTGCAATCCCGTAAGCAAAGTGGCTAGTTCTTCGAGATGATCGATGACCTCAGTTCCAAAGTTCGCTTTTCGGCGAATCAATGATGCTGCTGTGGCTAAAGCGAGTTCGTGGCGGTCGTAATTTTCTTGATCACGCAGCCCTGCTATCAGGTCTCGGATGTAGACCGGCGCGGTGGGCTTATTACGATTAATAGCCGTTGCATCGTCTGTATCGTCTTCTGGGTCGGAGTCTGGCTTCTCGTACACCATCAGGTCTGCGTCTTCGTCTTCAGAATCAGACATGACCTCTACGACCCTTGGGCCTTGTATCTCGGTAATTCCAGAAGCTTTGGATACCTTGGGAGGCGGCTTAGGCTTCGACTGGACTCTCTTCGTTTTCGCCACGGTATGCTGTTTAGTCGCAAGATTCGTGACTTCCCCAATCTTATCGTCGACCTCAGTAAGGCGTTGATACCAGCATGCTTCTTCTGCCTCGCTACCCTCCAATTCGAACTTAAGCTGAAGTTCCGGTTTGTCCACCATCTTCGAGATAGCAACACCAACTGCGATACCTAGAAAGCGAGCCCTTGTAGATGCCGCTCCTATGCGATTTGACATGCCATTGACGTGATGTGTTGACTTTGCCATCATGGTGAGGAACATGGGCTGGGAACGCTTTACATAGCCACTGCACATGGCTAAGGTCTGAGAAAGAGCTGGGGTACATTAGTGAGGTATGACGATACAGTGCAAATACGAAATACCTTCTTGCTGCAATACCGGCGTGTGCCTAATGTATACTGAATCGCCAAACATTTTTATGAGACCCTCGAGTAGAGTATATAGCTTGTCTAGAGATCGTCAGTCTTGACTATGAGCGGGCATATGATGATCACGGACCATCGTCTCTGGCCAAAGCAGCCAGAACACTGCGCCTGGCTGATAGGGAGTCATCAAGCGCTGGAACCGTTGACCGCGTAAGTGATATCACGAGCTGCTCTTTCAGGACGTCATTGTCCTTGATGAGCATGTGAAACAGAGCGGCGGCAGATGATATGGTGACAGAGGTTGCAACGGGGGCGTCCTCTTTACTAATAGTTTCCGTAGAGAAATACCTCTTGGCTACGAACGCGACTATAGCGTTGAGATATTTCCGTTGCTCGAATGTTTTCATCTGGGATAAAAGGTTGGTCAGGCGCTCAATGGCCCCGCTACCAATCAATGTCGGGACAAGGGCGCTTATGATATGATCTGTATTGTCAGTATGTAGCAACAGACCCAGACACAGGTTTTACGTACCAGTATAACCTAATCCTAACGATTTCGAGCACAGCTCAACAATGGCGGCGAGATACTCCTCGTTATCTGAGTTGCGCTGGAGCGAGACGGCGATGTTGCGTCCCAGCCACGCTGCATACTGCTTGCCATCCGCGACCCAATTTGCGTCTTGGTGGGCCTCATCACTCTTCTTGAGAGCATCTTCGGCCTCCGCTGCCACTGATAGTAATCGACCGGAAGCGACCTGCGTGATGAACTCTCTCCAGATGAGTTTTCTTTGTGCAGGGGTTTTCCCAAACGCTAAAACGTCTTGCAACACGAGATGGGATGTTTCGTCGCGGCTTAGCACCAGAATCAAGACTTGGAGAGCATCCGCAATGTGCTCAGCTGTGTTTCTCGCTTCACCAGGTGCCTTCTTTTGGTGACTGTCTGCAATAAGCGAACGAAGCCTTGTGTTAAGATGTCCAAGACATGTTGGGTTTCGGAGTATCTTCTCGAGCTTTGAAACTTCTTCGGCGTTCTTGATAGTTCTCCAGTAGTTCGGAATGGTGTCGTTGATGAGTTGATGCGCGATGCTTGCGTTTAGTGGTTCTGGCAGTAGGAGGCTGAACCCTTCAGTGGTGAGATAGCTCAGAACGGCATTTACGGTGTTGCGGCTGGGTTGGTTCTTGAGTGCCTCAAGTGCTGATTCTGTGGAGTTGATGGAAACTGCATCTTCTTGTATGCTCAAGCTCTTGACTTCCTGAATGAGAGGTTCTTCCTTTTTGACTTTCCTGGTGGATACAGCTGTGAGAAAGTCGGCCATGACGTTTAGAAAAGGTTATCAGGCGTGTTCACCCACACCGAATCAACGGAAATGCGGGTCGTTGTTCCTGCTCTTTTCGTGATAAATGCGAACCTTGGAAAGGCAGACGCTCAATGGACCTTACCCAATCGGTGTTTCCTTCCCATGCGAGGGCCCACAGACTAGCGCCTTGGCAGACCGTCTACGCTCTGATGCCTACAACCACCGTTTGCTGCCCTTGACTCTGCTAACAATCATTCTCCACACATTTCTACAGAATGGCTGTCAGCATCGATAACATGAGTGCGGCATCGACAAGCAGCCCGCGAGCGAGATGGTAAGCTGGATAATGAGAAAGGTCAGAGCTCTTGACTGATAGCATGCAATAGGAAGTACCTGGACAACTTCCTTACTCGCAAGGGCCCATTCACAGATGATGAAGCTTTCATGGCCGGCGAACAAGTTATCGAGTATCTGAGTAATCTCAAAGTTCTGTAGGAATATCACGTTTCCGAAGCGCAGGGTGTCATAGCTAACCATTTGCAGCGTCATGTACGTTTATACCAATACTCGATAATAATGCACGACCGCCCCTCATGTCGCATCTCTACTAACTATTGTTTAGCGGAGCTGGTGGTCTAGGTTGCGAAATCCTCAAGAATCTTGCCCTATCCGGATTCAAAGACATTCACGTTATCGATATGGATACCATTGACGTCAGCAACCTGAACCGACAATTTCTATTCCGTGCCTCGGATGTGGGGAAATACAAGGCCGAAACAGCTGCTGCTTTCGTCGAGAAGCGTGTGAAGGGCGTCAAGATCACTCCCTACTGTGGCAAAATCCAGGACAAGGACGAAAGCTACTACATGCAATTCGGTCTCATCGTATGCGGCCTGGACTCCATAGAAGCGAGACGATGGATCAACGCAACTTTGGTGGGGATGGTGGATGAGAATGACCCGGATTCGATGAAGCCGTTAATCGACGGAGGAACAGAGGGTTTCAAGGGCCAAGCACGTGTCATCTTCCCAACCATGACCTCATGCATCGAGTGCCAACTGGATATGCACGCTCCTCGCGCGGCAGTCCCTCTTTGCACACTTGCTACTATTCCACGCCAACCGCAACATTGTATTGAATGGGCACACATCATTGCATGGGACGAAGAGCGCAAAGATATCACTCTCGACACCGATGACCCGGAGCACATCACCTGGCTGTTCAACAAGGCGTCCGCTCGTGCCAAGGAGTTCAATATTGAGGGTGTTACCTACAGCATGACGCAAGGTGTGGTTAAGAACATTATTCCGGCTATCGCGAGTACGAACGCCATCGTAGCAGCCAGTTGCTGCAACGAAGCGTTCAAGGTGGCGACAAACACCGCTCCTTTCATGGGTTTCCCGGGCACAGACAACTACATGATGTATACCGGTGATGACTCGGTATACACGTATACGTTCGAGCACCAGAAGAAAGACGACTGCCCCGTCTGTGGCGCTGGCAACATTGCTCGTCCTCTCCAGGTTCTTCCGGGTATGACGCTGCAGGAGTTCATCGAGGGACTGGCAGAGCGACCAGAAGCGTATGTACCCCAAACCTGATCTCGTATCCCGACCTCTGTATACAGTATACTGACCTATCCAGTCAACTCAAGAAGCCTTCCATTCGTACAGGCGAGAAGTCACTCTACATGCAGCTCGCAGGTCTCGAAGAACAGACCCGACCTAACCTGGAGAAGAAGATGGTCGACCTGGTGGAAGAGGGAGAGGAGCTGCTCATCACGGACAGGAGCTTCCCCACCCAGTTCAAGTACAAGGTCGTATGGGCATCCAAGTAGATTTCGGGACTCCGTCGCATTGAGCTACCTGATAGGGGAAGCCAGCGGAATGATCCTGCGGGACACATCGCGCCCGTCAGAGCAGCGTAAATATGCTGCACAACATGTAAATCGATGCCATGCTACGAAAACGACAATCGCACAGTATGCTATGATGTGTCTTTGGTGTCCGTAAATGTACAGCTACAATACAGATATCCGTTGCCCTTTATTGTACAGCAGCCTGCTTCTTCTCTGCGCCACTGACCTCGATTGGTCCTTCCTCTTCAAACGTCTCCTGCCCAAACGGCTCCGCGTCTCCATCAAGCACCCTGCGAACCTTCAGCGTAGCCTCGGCTCCAAACATGCCCACAACGCCGATTCTCCTCTCAAGAGGTCCCCAGATCTTGACTGGCGGCGCCTCCCCCTTGAACAGCTCCCGCCCAGCGTGTATCAACTCGTTGGCCGCAAAACTGCCCTTGGCGTACTTGGGCTCGTAAGGCACGCGATCCCACTCCTTCCTTTGCAGGCGCAGGAGCTGCTGCTTCATGCTGTCCGATACAGTATCGCCAAGGTTTATGTCGGCGAGTTTAGTTCCCATCCTTTCGTCGCCGCCAGCTTTCCTCTCGCGCTTCTTGGGGCCGCCTCCGCCGCCCTTGTTACCTGCCGCACCAGCGCGGCCTTTTCCACCTGGTCCTGGTCTGCCGCCTTCTCTGCCACGTAGGTTGGGCCCACGGAGGTTGGGTCCTCGTGGACCAGGCCCGCGAGCAGGGCCATCGACCTTTTCGCGGGTTATACGCAAGGTCGAGGGGGCGCGGACCATCTGGCCCTGGGGAGGGGTGGAGCCGCGGGTCGTCGTTGGGCGTGCTGTGTTGCGGGCGAAGCGGGGGTTGGCGTCTGGCTGCGCATCGGCGGGGGCATTGTTCTCGGGGATAAAGCCATCTTTGTTGACTTGAGAAGCAGGCGAGCCCGGACTTCGTCGTGCCATTTGGCCGCTGGGGAAAGAGCCTCGTGCGAGTGCGCCGGGCTGGATGCGGCGATTTTGGAGAGAGGTGATCTGCTTGAGCGCCGTCGCTTGCCGGGCTTTGCGGGTATTTGGTGCTGAATATCTATCAGCATTGACTTGACAGGGCCATTGAGCGTCTTCAAGGCGTACGGTGGGCTGGAGATGCTGCATCGCTGGGTTGCTCTTCCAGTCTCTTCGCGGTGCTGTGGAGTGCCCTCGCTGAGCATTTGGGCAGAGCCGATACGTCTGCTACCAATGAGCGCCTGAAGGCGCCCATTGAAGGGCACATGTGTCGCTGGGCCATGCTGTGAGGATGGCTGCACTCGGCACCGTCACTCCAAACTCCAAAAGTTCAAGATCGCGATGTCTTGGCAGACAGGGATCTTGCCCGCTGGTCCTCCGCACCACGTGCTCCGCTCTTCACTCCGCCAACAGACTGCGCCTTGACAGTTCCTCGTCGCTTTCATTGGACTAAAGTCATCCGGTCTTAGTCAAAGTGCCCTTTGTTTTGAGAAACACGTGTTTTCCGTCGCGTGCGCGTATTAGTTTCTCGAGTTCCGCGACATCCTCAACCCTTTCATCGCAACTCATTCACATCACCTGCAACCCGCTTCTTCGGTCGACACTCCCTTGGGCTCCTATACACAAACTGTAGTCATTCTTTTAAATCAGACCGTTGCATCCCACCTCAACTGCAGCCTGCCTCAACGGCGCATCACTTAACACCGGGGTAATATCAACAACAAACACACATCATCACTTCCGTCAGCCTCTCTTCCAAAGACAGTCCTCTATACAGATCTGCTACGTGCTACTTCCAGCACATCCGCATATCTCTGAACATTCTCAATCCACGACCCAACCTCATCGCTATGCTTCGACGCACCCCCACCACAATCACCCTCACCCAGGCGGACATTGAGCAGTGGGAAGCTAGCCGCCAACGCAAACTCCACGAGGCTCAGCAGAAGCTCGAAGCTGAGATCGCTGCGAACGAATCCAATGCCGTAGCCAAGTCTAAGCAAAAGTCTACCAAGGACCGTATCATGGGTGGAACTGGAAAGGGCTATTGAAGAACCCTGCCCGCTCCATCTAACGACCATCAATGTCTCTACGACTCATTTTGCTCCTTCAATCTCGACTCTTGGTTTTTTGCGACGCTCTAAAATGCACTTATTCGCATCCAATCTGTTTGCGAGTAACGACTCTCCTGGCTTCATCTTGTATCACCACAGTTTTGGACTTTCTCCGCGGCGCGTCTTGGCAGACACTTACGGCTTTGCTCTACGGCCATAAGTTGGTATGCTGGAATTTCCCTGGAAGCGACTGTAACGTATGCCTACTCACACGTGGCAGGCTACCCACGCATGTCCGAGTCATTGTGACAAGAATCCGGGGAACTGGGGAAATGTTAGGCTATGTATGAGTCAGAGAACTGTTTTCTCTTTGTATCTTTGCATGTACCTGATAAACGAGGTGGCAGATTCCGCACTGTAGTCGATGTAAAAAAGATCAAAAAGCTCTAAAGCTTCGTTTCCTTCTTGGGGGTTTGTAGGGCTCAGAGGGAGCTGAATGTACACAAGGTTCCCTACTTTTCCCATCTGTTGATACACGTAGATGTAGCCTTATTGTAAAACTTTGTCAAGTATACCAGCGCAGAGGGAAAGTGACAGTAGCGACAGGAGTGGCGTGACCAAAAGTCGTTACACTCCATAAACGGCGGACAATCTCACACAAGCTACATCACAGTGCCTTCTTGTTTTTCCCCTCAAAAATGCTCCGAGGGACCCAATGACATCCGGCAGCGTCAGTGTTGCCAATAGTATCAACAAGGCGTGCCGTCCCGGAACGTCGAGACCCTTCCAGTGGGCCAAGCCTTGCTTTTTCGTCGGCACGGGAGGTCACTTCAGCACACCGATCTTTCCACACCCTAATTTTTTCCAATCGATTGGCTTGTCATCCTAGTGAACGTCCCGCGTATGCGCTCACCCAAGGACTCGGTAGCATAGGTGAATGGGACGAAGGATCTAACGCCAGCAGTACATACTTTACGTACGACAATGTCGCGTAAACCTGCTCGCTACTGCAGAACCCAGCCCCGGCGCTCAAAGTCGAATGCCAGATGATTTCTTTTCTTAAGCCATCACATAGTCGTCGAGCAATAGTATACGTTATGATCACGCTGCGAGCATAAGCGGCATTGCGGCTCGTAGCTCGATGTTCCAGCATCCCCGTCCGGACATCGATCCCGAAACGACAGCCACGTCCGTTGACGAACGCCATACCCGCCATTCCATCGAAGTGTTGCATTGAAAGACGCTACCTGGGTCCTGGTTCGAATCCCTTGGAACGGGTCGTAATGTGGAGGGGAAAGCGGAATGGGGTATATGTTACTCGCGAATATAGCTTGTAGATCGATCGAATGCTTTCTACCTAGGTATAGAAGATAGCGTAAGACGATATGGCCTATCCGGTTCATCAACACGAGCTTATAGGGCTGGAGGTAATGCATGGCAAACATGGGTTTGCACGTCGCTTCGAGGTATGGCGTACTGATGGCGAGCTGATCGTATTGAGATGAGGTACAAACGGGTCAATGCCTTCTCGTCCCTGGTTCGTGGTAGTCGCTTGTCAAAACGTCCTGCCTAAAATGTCATCATAGTCGCGTGAAGGCATCAATAACGCCTCAAAGATGGCAACCGTATCGCAGCAAGTGCTTGGAACACGGCTGCACTCATCCAGCGTTCGGACAGCACAAACTCGTGTCCACAAGCAGGTCAGCGGCGCAGCATCACAATGACGAAGAAGCCTGTCCTGATCGAGTCAGTATCGTGACCCGATCAAAACAACGAGAAGTTTTTACGCGTCGGCACGCGTTTGTTGGGGAACCCCACCAAGCGGCGCTAACGCGGGAAAGAGAGCTCGAAACCGCCGGACGTTGCAGAGCTAGCTGACTACGCCACCCAGTGCTCACCGGAGGCTGGTTGGATCAGCTTACGATCGAGGCTCTCAACGCAGTGTCAGACCGGAGATTTATGGGACAGTTCGTGCCTCCCGCGGGTCTTCTGCTTTTCTCCAACCGGCAGAGCGAGGTCAGATAAGCTGAAGAGCTTACTGTCCCGCAGCAGGAGACCTCGATCGATGACCACTTTCAAGGATGACTCGGTGGATCGAGGAACAGTTGGGCTTCCCGCCATTGGACGTCAGTGATGAACGGCTAGGGAATGTGAACGATGACCCGCAACCACTTGTAGCGAGCTATTGATCTTCCTCAACGGTTCTCGGTCGGACGCTGCCGATAGTTCGACTTGGACACGGCAGACACGCTTTACGAGAAGGCGACGTTCGCGATGGCATCAGTGCTGGGCGTTCAGTCAGCAGCAATCTCGCAGATCTGTGGTGGCGGGAAAGCCAATCCTGCAGGTAGCCTGTCGAGTCTCGACTCCGTCTCGACATCATCAGAACCGATGAATTGGAGCTCTCCACAAAAGGATCATGTTGGAAGGGGACCTATAATTTCAGCTTCCGTTAGGAACTACGCCGTAAAGATTTGTGCTAGACGCCCGTTGATTCCGTCTTGGACAGTGTCGCGCTTCGGTGTGGAAAGCCCTTTATCCGCTGTCGCGAATCACGATGCACGAGCTGGGAAAGACGCGAGAAATGACCGTGCCGCCTTCGGCTCCTTCGAGCCAGTGCGCTTTCGCATGCGAGCCCTGTTCCTGAACCCAACCGTAATCCTTGCCCGCAGACCCGCCTCTGCTACGAATCCTAGCCGTCCTTGCATGTCTTGGCCACTAAGCCTCTGGGGGTGAGGCCACGCTAAACCAGGGGAGAAGTGTACCTGCAGGGGTCACAATGGTCTGTTCCCCTTTGGATCGCCGCACCCACTAGACCTACCCCCAGGCCACCCAACCAGGAGCCACATTCAAGACCAGGCCTTCTTCCTGCATCACTGCGGCTTCGCTCTCATGCCGTGGTGGCTTTCCTTACTTCTGCCATAACGTCCCGTCGTTCATTTTCTATCTGCTTGGCCCTACGCGCCCTTAAACCGACCGAACCTTATTCACTCTTTAGACTCTCCGCGTTCGAGCTAACGGCAACCAACTCACTCCACAATCGTTTCGTTTTCTCATCTGCGACATCCGTTCCGTCTGACACTGCCATTACTGTCACCAGTTTCATCTACACGGCATTGTCTTCCAAGAAGCCATCCTATACCAGCCCACGTCCGCGCTTGACTGAAGCTCAGAGACAGTCTCGCTGGTGGGGTCCACGTTCTGCCTATAACCTTGTCACATCGCACTTCCGACAAGAGTGGGGATCACCGCTGGAAGGACTCTCATGCTGCATATTAACTAAACGCTTCGGTTCGTTTGGTGGGAAGAGTAAGAATATTCGACATGGCCAACACCACACTGCTGCGGGGAGAATGCCCTCCGCCTTTCTATGATGTGTCGAAATTTGGATTCGACGGCTGTAAGTGCTCTCATTTAGCTTTTATACAGTTGCTGACATCCACAGTTCTTGCTGGAAGGTTTTGTGCGCCACTTCAACCAGGCAGTGACGTTGTCTGCTGCTTGCCCTGTCCTCTGACAGACTTCCTGTACCCAGAAAGTAGGTACCTGGGAAGCCCACATTGAGATTCACGTGCCTAACCGTTTCTAGGTTTCAATACCGCCTATCGCGCAGCTGAAGCGCTCAATGTGGCTGGTCTCATCTGTCTCGTCATCCTGCTCATCACGTACTTGGTCTTGCCGGCCGAAAAGACTCGTCGACATTATCTCAGCTATTGTCTCATCATAGCCGCAATTCTCATGGCAGTAAGTCTGAACTCAGCCTACCCAGCCTGCATCTGCTGATCGCCTTTAGCTTGGCTTCGTAATACCCTTTGGTGCTCAACCAGAGCAGTGCTACGATGAGATCACCCCAAACGATATGTACTCAAGTCTGACGTGTGCTTTCTCCGGTGCTTTCCTCATCTCTGGGGGTATGTCGATGGCAGTTTGGATCTTCATTCGCGCTCTCTCGATGCATCTTCAGATCTGCTGGGACGTCACGCCAGGACAGAAGTTCTTCTACTGGGCGCAAGGTCTGGGTTGGTCGGTTGCGGCCACTTTCTTCACTATCACTATCACGATCACTGGAGTCTCGTTCAGATTCGGTGACGTCTGCCACGTCAATGCCGAGCACTCAATGAAGGACTTTTGGGGTCCCTTGTTGGCCATTGCAGGCGCAGCTATGGTTATCCAGGTCGCAACGTAAGTCACTCAGGAGACCCAATGTGACGACACTACTAATATCGCTATCAGCTTCGTATATTGTATCAAGGTGTATCTTCAAAACATGTTCAGCGACGACAAGACCGAAACACAAAGCAGCGCTGGCCTCCCCTCTTACACGACCAGCATACGGAACCGATCTGCACGAGCTGTTTACCGGCGTGTACGCAAAGTCCTATACCTGCAGTGGCGCGGTATAACAATCGTGGTCTTCATCCTCGTGGACGTCATCTTCTTCTCTATCGTTTTCATCTGGCTGAACTCCGTAACATCGCACGCCACTGAGGACATTGACAAATTCCTCCCGTTTGTCGTTTGTCTGGTAACAAACGCCGAAAAAGGCCCAGAGCCATGTTATGAACTCGGCCAATCCCTCGCTGTCGACCAATCTACAGTGACAGCGATCTTAATGATGCTGTCAATTGCCGGTCTCCAAGTATTCTTCCTGCTTGGCCGATGGAGCATGGTGGTCGGCTGGAGAGATTTGATCAGAAGCAAGTTCAGCAAAAACCGCGAATTCGTATCTTTGGACGCTAGGAATCCCCAGGAGGATGTACGCCATTTCGAAATGAAGAACTTCGAGCCGAAATCGACAGCAGATGCATACTATGGTACTCCTGGACTTGCAAGCTACGCTATGGGAAACGAGCGATCGGATACTCCTGATCATTTCCACAAAGAAACCCAGCGCGACTACAAGAGCCCGACACTGAGCTTTTCGACTCCAAGACCCCAATCTCGGGCGGCTACCCATGTCGACTGGGATCCTAGATCATCCATGGCAAGAGGAGGAC